GGCGTTACTATGGTGTTCTACGTAGTTGGTATGGTGTTGCTAGACACTAGCTATGATATTCTAAGTGATTGCTTAGGTGTTTCTCGATGGTTGCTATGGTGTTTTAGGTGGTTGCTTGGGTGTTGCTAGGTGGTTGCTATGGTGTTCAAAGTTGTTGCCTAGTAACACCCTAAAAACCACTTAGAACACCATAGCAACCTCCTAGCAACACCCTAGTAACCACCTTAAACACCATAGCAACCACCAAGAAAAACCTTAGCTATGGCATTCTAAATGGTTGTTATGATGTTGTTAGGCAGTTGCTATGGCATGATAGGTGGTTACTAATGTGTTGCTATGTGGTTGATATGGCATTGCTATGGTGTTCTACGTAGTTGCTATGGTGTTGCTAGACGCTAGCTATGATATTCTAAGTGGTTGCTATGGTGTTTTAGGTGGTTGCTTGGGTGTTGCTTGGTGGTTTCTATGGTGTTCAAAGTTGTTGCCTAGCAACACCCTAAAAACACTTAGAACACCATAGCAGCCTCCCAGCAACACCCTAGCAACCACCTAAAACACCATAGCAACCCCCAAGAAACACCTTTGCAATGGCGTTCTATGTGGCTCTTAGGATATTGCTAGGCAGTTTCTATGGCATGATAGGAGGTAACTAAGGTTTTCTTATGTGAATGGAAGGTTTTTCTATGCTAGCTTTGGTATTCTGAGTTACTACGAGTAGCAGAATGACAATATATTGATACAGGTATGGTGAAGCACAACAAGATTGACCAGTAATATTATTACTGCAGTTATGCCCTGTGGATAATTATACATTTACAATGATGATGAAATAATAATCATAAATATAGTGATATAATAATAAACATACATCCTTTATAAACAAATACCAGTACCATTACCAACAGCAATAATAATAATCATAACAATAATTTTCATCATCATCATCATCATCATCATCATCATCATCATCCAGGAAACCTTTACCTGAGTTATGCTACTTACCCATGCTGTAGCTTACCCACTAAATGAACCATGACCACACTTATGCACTGGTCACTTTTACCTTGCAGTGAATGGTCATCATAGTCTATCATTATTGTCTTTCTGTGTGGTGGACCTGTTTTACACCTTATCATACAGCACCACACATGACAATGCATAAATACACATCTCATTACACAGTGGACAGTGCAATCACATGCAAACTCAAAGTTTCTTCTGAAACTCTAAATGTAGTTTTATTTGTACTCCTTTTATTTGGGAACTTACAGTCTGTTGTACCTGCATAGTATATCCAATGTTTGCACCTCACTGGATTCAGAAGACCCAGGCAAACATACTCTTACGATTATACAAATATGGAGTAAAACCTAAAAGTTAATTCTCAATTTGTTAATGAACTGACATAAATAAAAATACATTGCCATTACATAAAATAATCATCTTCACAGGAAAAATTCAACCTCATAAGAATACCCTTTCTTGAAATGATGTAGAATTCAAAAGTAAGATCACAGAGGTATGTGCACACATATTCATGTAATTTGGTGAATATTTAATCCTGTGAGATTTGAAATGTTGGCTCTGTTAGAAAGATTCTGGGTCTCTTTGAGTGAAAACACTTGCCTGTGGCATCACTGAGATATTCACATATTTGTCAGGATGAGCCACCACAGGGCCAATGGGAGGAGGTGGTCACACACAATGGGCCAATGGGAGGAGGTGGTTACACATAGTGGGCCAATGGGAGGAGGTGGTCAAACACAATAGGCCAATGGGAGAAGGTGGTCACACACAACATTCCAATGGGAGTAGGTAGTCACAAACAACAAAGCAATGGGAGGATGTGTTCACACACAACAGGCAAATGGCAGACGGTGGTCACAGTCAGCGTGCCAATGGCAGTAGGTGGTCACACACAGCGGGCCAATGGCAGTAGGTGGTCACACACAATGGGCCAATTGGAGGAGGTGGTCAAACACAATGGGCAAATCACTTTAAAATCACTTAAGATGGATTATTCTGGAACACTCTGAAAGGAAAAATCTGCATTTGGCATCAGAGAGACAGTGGCTGGGCTACAACTACCTGATGTACCCAGGAAGACCATTTGCATACAGAAGACACTTTGCATTGGCAGCACATGCTTCAGTGCTCTGGGAGTGTTTATAGTCCTGTGAGTTTAACACTTGATGACTGAGAGCTGTCCTTCATGGCAACAGAACCCACAGAAACAATGACTTTTATCACCATCTTCATCTGGGCACTCGCTTTCTGCAGTCAGGGTGAGTACTCAGATATTTTTTTGTTGCATTTTCATGCTATTTTCATTTAGATGTCATGTAAAATGAAAAATGACCTTTCACTGAGAAATATTTATCCATGTGAAAGCCACAGGTTAATTCAGTATGTGATATTCAGTATGTATGTGACGTGGTTATAGTATAGATAATGTGGTTGTTTGTTGATTCCTCCCTTCAGAATGCATAGGACAGGTGACATTGACTCAGACTCCTGCTGTGAAAACTGCAGTTCCAGGAGAGACGATCACTCTGAGCTGTAAACCCGGCCCTGAAGTATATTACAGCTCTGACAAAGGAACTATGTTTTTAACTGGTATCAACAGAAAGCTAAAGACAGCATTAAACTCCTGATCTCCTTAACAGATCAGCGTAGCTCAGGGATTCCTGCCCGCTTCAGTGGCAGTAGAGCTTATTATGGGAGTGAGTTTACTCTGACCATCAGTGGAGTCCAGGCTGAAGATTCAGGAGATTACTACTGTCAGAGTTTACACGACATCAGCAGTAGCTATGTGTTCACACAGTGATAGAGAGCCGTACAAAAACCTCCCTCAGTCAGACTGCACAGAGACTGCACTGCTGCAGCTGGGACCTACTGCAGGTGCTGAGGGGGGAGGCACTGACCCGGGACACTGAGGGCTTCAATGGGTCAATAAACTCTCATGCAACTAATAAAAATATATACTAAGACTGAATTTAAGGTCAGGATATCCAAGCCTTGAGAGGTTAGTTATTCCAAATTCAGATGACAATGAATACAATTCAAATCTGCCCGATCAATCAGTGAAATGCCATTTTGTATTATATTATAATATTTTGAATGTATTGTAGTTGTACATAACATATCTGTGGAAAGCAACAGTGAACTCTCTGTCCAGGACAGTCCAGAGGTCTTTCCTTCAACACACATTATACAAGCTGCCATTACATATACTGATCACAAGATGGAGACTCTGCATATCCATATTCATCTACCCTGTCATAACAGTGGAGTGGAGAATACACTTTGGTATCTGAGGCAGTCCTGACTGAGTCCCACAGCCCCACAGAGAATTACATAACTGCCCATAGTGCTGATCAGAGATGGAGGCTCTCTCTTCATTTTGGGAGAGACTGACAGGGCATTGGAGTTTGAAAATGCAGATAGCTCTGTGACAGATTTATGTATTTGTCAATACCATCATACCACAGCAACTGGTGGAGAAGCTGGATGTGGATACTGCCACCTGTAACTGGATCCTGTACTTCCTGACACAAAGGCAGCAGACAGTCAGAGTCTGCAGCCACACATCAGGTACCACCTCAGTGAGCACAGGCTCACCCCAGGGCTGCGTCCTGAGCCCCCTGCTGTTCACCCTGCTGACCCACGACTGTACTGCCAGATTCAGCAACAACCACATCATCAAGTTCACTGATGACATGACAGTTGTGGGTCTCATCAGCAAAGGTGATGAGTCAGGATACAGGATGGAGGTGGAGCAGCTGACAGCGTGGCGCAACAGACGCAACCTCTCCCTGAATGTTAAAAGACCAAGGAGATGATCATCGACTTCAGTAAGGCCCGCACGGACCACCACCCCTGCTGACTGTAGATGGTGCGATTCTGGAGAGGGTCGGTAGCATCAATTTCCTGGGAGCGTACATGGCAAATGACCTGACCTCGCCCTCCAACACCATGGCCATCGTCAAGAAGGCCCAACAGGCCAGTCTCCCCATTCCGGCCCTCACCACCTTCTCCAGGGGCACCATTGAAAGTGTTCTGACCTATTGTATCACTGCCTGGTTCTGAAAGTGCAAAACCTCCAAACAGAAACAGCTGAGCAGGATAGTGAGAACAGCTGGGAAGGTCGTTGGTGTCCCTCTCCCCTCCCTGCTGGAGATCTTCAACCAGCGCTGCACCCACAGAGCCTCCAGCATCACGAAGGACCCGACCACCCCTCCCACAGCCTGTTTCCCCTCCTGCCATCTGGCAAAAGGTACAGAAGTATCCGTACCAGGACCAGCAGGTTTCTAAACAGCTTCATACGGCAGGCTGTGAGGATCATAAACATTCAACACCCCCCTCCACCACTAAACCATTAACTCCCCATAGTACCAGAAACTTCTCTCCTCTAGTGCAATTTTCACACTGCATAATGCACTTTATGTATAGACAAAGGTCATTTACAGTATATGCTGCTATTCCCCTCCACATATACTGCTAATTTTCTTTTTTTCTTCGGAGCACCATGTGTATTGGGTTGTATTGTATGTATGTATTGTGTGTATTGTGTATTGCTGTATGTTGTTGTGCTTATTGTATTGTTTTATATTTTATACAAATCTTTTTATAAAAGCTCTTTTAATTCTCTATTTTAATTTATGTACACTGTTGCCCTTGGAGGAACGATATTTCATTCTTCATTGTATGTAAGTGCAAGAAAAATGACAATAAAGAAATCTTGAGTTTTGAATAGCTGTTCTTCTCCTCAAGACAACCGTGGTACAGTTTTGCAAAACATCTTGCTCTCTGCACAATCTCTTCTAGATGCCCCAGTACTTTTCCACCAAATGCACACATAAGTTTGCACAGGGTCATCTTAAGGAAAACAAATCATTTATTATATTACATGCACTTAACCTTTTATACCCTCTTCATGCTGAGGCCCCTCCCAATATGCTACTCTGTTAAATGCAGGCTGGAAGAAGAGGTGCAACGTAGTCTCTGTGGTGCAATTGGTTGAGTGCATTTGGCTGTTAACTGAAAGGTTTGGTGGTCCGAGTCCACCCAGGGACAGCAGAACTTGCTCTCCTTCCTTATTGTAGAAATTTGGTGAGGCTCTTGGCCATCATGTATGACCCCTCAATCATGTACCGACCGTCGTTCCCCCAGAGACCAGCTGAAAAGGTCTTCCTTACCAAAGCCATTCAACTCCAGCTCCTGAACAGTCGTTTGGAGTTTGCATCTCAGCGCTGAATTCTCTTGAAGAAGCTCAGGTCCGGGACAAGGGGATGAAGTGAGTTGTGAAAACGGGCAGATGCCGTGTTTTGGGGCTGGCGTGGGTATGTGGGTCAAACAGCATGAGGAGAAACGCCCATCTGCTGCCAATCCCTCAGCCCGTTCACACCCATCAAAGGTGTGCAAAAATATTTTTGTATGAGTGCTCAGTTCATGCCCAGTGTCTGTGCTGCATTGTTGGACTTTTCAGTGCTTAATTTAAGGCATCGCTTGGATCAAGCCGCCAAACACCTGGTCCCGCAAATTTAAATAAGCTGCTCATTGGAAGCAATGCAGAAGCACCAGCACTAGAGGGCCAACTTTCAAAGAAGCTCAAGTCCTGAACCGCATATGAGGCGCCGGAGAGGCACTGACCCGGGACACTGAGGGGTTCTGCTCCAGCACACTGAGCTTCAGTGGGTCAATAATAACTCTCACATAATCTCTCATCTAATACAATGAGTGTTGCCTGTACATGCAAAGTCCCACGGATGAATAAGAGTGGTTATATGGAAAACCTAAAGGCATTTATATGCAGGATACATCTTTCTGAAGCCACTCAGTCTACAGTTGTTCGATTCAACACACGCAAGCTGCCATTACATATAGGTTCCACCGGGGGGAGATAGACCACCACAATTGCCCCAGATTTCATGACAGGACAATAGTAAAGTGGAAGCGACAGTTTGGTATCAAATCCTGAACTGGCCAGTGCTGATCAGAGCTGGTCTGCACCAATGAGATGGCCTTGAAAATATTACTGGTGTTACAAACTGGGACAGATTAACAACATGATAAAAACTGATCAAAAAAACCTTAAACAGACAGAGCAACATGGCACTGCCCTTTATTTCATATGTCAGTGATAAGAGAGATGAAAGGGATATGTGCGCACATCTTCATTCATTCTCTGACATGAAAAGCTTTAACTCTGTTAGACAGAATCTGGAACTCTTTAATGGAAACACTATCATGTGGCACCGCCGTCTGTCTGGATGACCCACTGGTGGTTCAATGGGAAGAGGTGGCCATGTTTGTTAGTTTGGAGGTTTTGAGTAAGAGGTTTAAAGATGTCATTCAAAAACTCCTGTAATTAATGAAAAAGATGGTTTCTGGAACACTTTGAATGGGAACAGCAGCATTTGGCAGCACAGAGTTAGTCATGTGTATGTGCTGACCCATTGATGGGGCACTGGGACTTTGACCCTGGTCTGTCTCTGAAGACGTTAAACTGCTCTGTCTGTGTCACAGCCCATAAGCCCTAGTCTGCCTCCACAGCACTGCTGGGCTACAAGTGCCTGCTGTACCCAGGAAGACCATTTGCATAGAGAAGACACTTTGCATTGGCAGCACATGCTTCAGTGCTCTGGGAGTGTTTATAGTCCTGTGAGTTTCACACTTGATGACTCAGAGCTGTCCTTCATGGCAACAGAACCCACAGCAACAATGACTTTTATCACCATCTTCATCTGGGCACTTGCTTTCTGCATTCAGGGTGAGATTCATGAAAAATAATCAAATAGATATGATATCTTTGATTTTAATCTAAAGGAGGTATAAGGCTTAAATTAACTGTATGAAATAAATGTATAAAATAACTGTCTGGGCAGTGGTTTAACATGCTAATGTACCAATGGATCATATGAATATGCCTTTTTTATTCTTCAGAATGCACAGGACAGGTGACTGTGACTCAGACTCCTGCTGGTAAATCTGCTCTCATAGGAGACACTGTCACCCTGAGCTGTAGAACCAGCCCTGCTGTGCTTGGCAATAGCTTGTTACACTGGTACCAGCAGAAACCTGGAGAAGCTCCTAAACTCCTGATAAAACTTGTAAATCAGCGTATCTCAGGGATTCCTGATCGATTCAGTGGCAGTGGATCTGGGACTGACTTCACTCTGACCATCAGTGGAGTCCAGGCTGAAGATGCAGGAGATTACTACTGTCAGAGTGTACACAGTGGCCCTGTGTTCACACAGTGATAGAGAGCCGTACAAAAACCTCCCTCAGTCAGACTGCACAGAGACTGCACTGCTGCAGCTGGGACCTACTGCAGGTGCTGAGGGGGGAGGCACTGACCCAGGACACTGAGGGGTTCTGCTCCAGTACACTGAGCTTCTGAGGTTCAATAAACTCTCATACATCTATTTCACATCTAATACACAAATACACTGAGACTGAATTTTGGTCAGGGTATCTGAGCCTTGAGAGGGAATGACTGTTATTTCCAATTCAACACAGGGGGCAGTTGCCCTCTCTGGTTCCCTTTTGCTTAAAAAATGCCACAGAAGTGCCCTCTGGGAGCCCCTGTGCATGATAAAACATGATGAAGTGCCCCATAGAGCTGCCCTATGAATGAGAAAATGTGATAAAATGTCCTCTAAAGTGCCCTTTCAGTGGAGAAAAAGTGATAAAGCACCCTCTTGAGTTGCCCTATGTATGAGAAAATGTAATAAAATATGACTTTATCATTAATGTGTTAACTTTATAATCCTCTTATCACTTCTGCCTTGTGTCATGGGAATTGTGTCTTCCCTGGTTAGACTCACAGCTTTGCTTATTGATATAATACCGTACTCATTGGGCAATATCAGGTTAGTTTGTATGTATATGTTTCTTTTTTCAATATCAGTGTCACAAATCAGGCTAGGACTCAAGTGCAAACGAAACCAAGACAGGTTCAAAAAGGATGATTATTTCTTAAGTACAAATCACAAAACCAGAATCATAGTCGGGGAGCAGGCAGGGTCAAAGCCAGAAGTCAGAGGCAAACAATCAAAAACAATAGGCAACAAGGTAAAGTCAACAAACAGGCAGAGAATTAAAAACAGGCAGGAACAAGACAGGGAAAGCACTGGCACAAACTGGCAAAGAACACAGAAAGAGGCAGGGTATAAGTAGGCAGAATAATGAGGAGAAATGGGGCACAGGTGAGCAGGCAGGCAGGTGAATCTTGTCAGGTGATGAGAGCAGGGGGAGGAGGGGGCGGGGCTGACACACAGGGAAACTGAAAACGAAAGCATGTGGCAGCCACGGACAGGGAAAAACAAACACAAACCTCGGCCAAGAGGCCGGCGTACTGACAATCAAGCCCTAAGAAAATACCGAAACATATTTTAAGTCTCACTGGCACATTTAAGGGAACATCAATCGGGGGATTAGCTCAAATGGTAGAGCGCTCGCTTAGCATGTGAGAGGTAGCGGGATTGATGCCTCCATCCTCCAAGCATCAGCCTACAGGGGTAGCCTGTAGCATAGTGGCTAAGATAAATGATCAAGACCCCTGAGGTCCAGCACTTTAACCACCATCACTGTCAGGCCCCTAACCCCACATTGCTCCCAGGGGGGACTGGCCCCTGGCCATCCCACTTAACTGCAAGTTGCTTTGGATAAAAGCATCAGCTTAATGGCTATCATGTAATATCAAGGACAGATAAGCAAATTATATGATATTTACAAATGTAATATACTCCAGAATAATCTGCTCCTCAGAGAGCTGCTGTCTTTTTCGCCCTGCTGTTCTGGGACCAGAGCAGAAGTGCTGACATTTGAAAATAAACAGTGGAGAGAGCACAAACCATGTGTGTTATAAAGTGCAGCCATCACAACCTTTCATACCAGACATATGAGTATCATTTTAAATACAACTGCAAAACAACACACAATTCACCTCTGAGCTCAAGAAAATGATTGACTCTACTCTGAGTGATAATGTACTGATATGAAACACTTCAATGTAAGGGAAACTCTCGCATCGAGGAGGAGGAGACGTAATGTGTGGGAGCTAGCAAGAAAAAAGCCTGTCGAAATATTGAAAAAAAAAAATGTTTTACCTTGTATTTCAGTCAATATTCATCCGTTTAAGATGTAACATGCCATATGTATCAGCCGTATGTTTCACAGAATGTTGACTTAGTGTCCACTAACACCCTACCAAGTATGTCATGGTTATTTAAACAGACAGCAACAAGTTCAAGTGACAGCAACAAATGATTTCTGAAGCTAGTTATGGAGTCTGCAGCACCCCCAGCAAAAAAAAAAAAAAAATCACAAAACGACCAGTGCTATCTGGGAGCACTTTACAATCAGTCCATCTGAGACAACTAAAATCATCTGCAAATTGTGCAAGGTCACAACAAGCAGAGGCAGGGATGTGAAACACCTATCAACACCTGTAATGCAAGACCATATGCATTTCAAACATTCTGTTGTGACCGTGTCTGCCCAGGCTCCCCCAGCAAGGGCCGATAAACAGCTGCAACCAGCCTCTGTTCTGTTCCCCCAGCAAGGGCTAATACACAGCCACAACCAGCCTCCGTTCAGTTCCCCCAGCAAGAGCTAATACACAGGCACAACCAGCCTCCGTTCAGTTCCCCCAGCAAGGGCTAATACACAGCCACAACCAGCCTCCGTTCAGTTCCCCCAGCAAGGGCTAATACACAGAGGCAACCAGCCCCCGTTCAGTTCCCCCAGCAAGGGCTAATACACAGCCACAACCAGCCTCCGTTCAGTTCCCCCAGCAAGGGCTAATACACAGCAACAACCAGCCTCCGTTCAGTTCCCCCAGCAAGGGCTAACACACAGCCACAACCAGCCTCCGTTCAGTTCCCCCAGCAAGGGCTAATACACAGCCACAACCAACCTAGATCGGCTCAAGAACCTCATCACAGCATGGCAAAATGAGGTCAATGGTCAGTTTTTTGTACAGTTTTTTGTAACGGCCCATTCCTCAAACATGGTAAAGGCCATCGCTGATGGTGGCTTTGTGCACATGAGGTGCATGGCTCATTCTCTGC